GCGCACTTCCAACGGTGGTGCAAGCCTCTGTGGCTATGTGCCTCTAGGAAAATTGAGTGTGTCACCGTGTCTTCTCCAAACTGTGAGCATCAAATTGGCGACGGCGTGACACGTGCTGCACTTGTTCGGGACTTGCATTTGGTTGCCCCGCACCACGAGCGCCCAAGTCACCATTTCTTGTTTTCTCGCCTCGTTGGTCAATAAACGCGTCACGCCCGCTTTCAACGCGTCTCAATCCGACGTTTTTTTAGAGCCGGAGTCCCTAGTCAGCGGACAATTGCTACCAAAACCCTTGTGCTGAAGAGATGTGATCATATTTTGTGGGAAAATGGTAAGAGTTTGACTCTCAGCAATGTTGCCTCCGCTCTCTGCTGCCACGGGCACGCCCTGTCCGATTCCGCTTCTTGCCGGCGTTCAGGTACAAAAACAACAACAACATCGTCACGAACAACACCTCCGTCAACTCGACCTACAGTCTGTCTCCTTATCCCCAACCAACGACACTACGGCAAACATCGAATTCACGTCTGCTTTTGCAGCGCCTGCGCCGAGCGTCTTGAAGAGTGTCAAACCACGACGCAGAAGACCGCATGACGGGCAGGGCTTCACAATTCATGAAGACAAGGCCTCATTTGCGGCTTCACGAAGTGGTGAAAGAAGGGAAAGGAATGGCACAAGTGGAGATGGCATTGCCAACGAGGACAATCTGCTCAAGGTGGGAGCAAGGAGAGCTGCGATATCTCAACCACCCCAGCGACCGAAAAAGCGAGCAGCGATGGATGTCCCTTGTACAGCGCCCATACCCCCAACGACTGCTTCTGCGGGCGATGTCGTTGTACAGCCACAGGTGCGAAAACAAAGCGGTACTTCCACGAGACTTAGTCAAGCCGCGAGACGACCAATAACAAACAACGCCGAAAGGGCATCATCCTCATCCAAGGCTCAACCGCTGCCAACACTCCCTGAAGACACTTTTGCACTCCCGAGGATGGATCCGACAACTTCGCTCAAGCCAGACCGGCGAACTACGATATACATACCGACCGAGGACACGACAGTGCCGAGCATGTACATGGGTATCTTCAGCCCAATTAAGAGGTTGGGTCCGGCGGTGAAGCCCTCTCCAGGGTGGCCAGCAACATCCGCGACCGCAGAACTACCGAGCAAGCCCGATGTCGAATTGACAGGGATCGTTGCGCAGATGGTCGCGAAGAAGCGAGGCGCTGCCAGGTCTAAAAGCACCATGTCTCCAACGCGACGGCCGTTGCAGGTTACGACTAATCCTCTCCAAGAAAGTGCAGTCTTGGTGGATCGCTGGGGACAAGGAGGTGGTAAGGAGAATATTCCTCCTGGGCAGAATGAAATGCTCGGCATGAAAGCCACGTCTGGGAAAGGGAGACAGAAGCTGGAGCGACGAAGCTCAGACCTGGAGGATGCTTATACTGTGGCTCGACAGCAACAAGTCAAAACACAAGCGCGAGTTTTGTCGAAAGGCGAACCCACGGCAATCGTTCCGAGAAAAGCCAGAACGGAGAGTCCCGCCGAGGGTGCCAGCACGAAGCCGGGCTGCGATAGAGGACCACAGTTGAAGCCCAGGCGACCAGGACGAGCATCCGTGATAGGAAATCTAGAACCGAAGTCAAACATCGCTGCATTGAAACGTGAATCTATTGCGAGAAAGCTATCAGTCCCCAGTCGATTTGTTATCCCGAAAGTGAATCCTATACCAGCTTGTGAGTTATATCCTGTTATTACTGAAGACCTTGTCGATCCTATGATGTACGAGGAGAATTGGTTGAGTCACCAAGAGACGGCAATCACGCAACTTGTCAACACCCTCTTTGCAGCATCAACCGCGTTATGCTCTCCAGTGGAAGATGAAATGCTAAGGCTTCGGTTGCTCGAGAGATATGGAGACCCCGAAAATGTGTTACTCTACAAAAGACTCCAGGCTGCCCTGCTATATGGAGCACTGAGTGTGCCCCGGGATGTCCTCCGCGGTTCTTTGAGACTCAGCACCGACATAGGAAAGCGGAAGGCTTTCACGAATTTATGGCTCGATACATATGAACTTGCAAGTCTTGGGTCCGCGCTGGAAGTTGTTGTTGGTCGACGGTGCCTGAGCAACGGAACCGAGTCTTCGACGGTGTGCCCCGTTACTGAGAATAGCCACAGTGTTAATCGACGTACCTTGCAACAATTTATCGAGACCTTCCTGATTCGAAATGAAGACGGACATCCGGACGAGCCATCTACAGATCATTCATCGTGGTCTTATCAGCGCACGCTCCTTCGGAGTCTGATGCTCATCAAGCTCCTGGACATGATGAAGACAACCCCGAACCCCGTGTCGAGCATGTGCTTGTTCCAGCCATCGGCATCGTACAAGGCATCTGTGAGCGTTGTCAAAGCGCTTTTCCAACAGCTTAATCCAAGCGCAGGAGATCCAATTCGAGCCTTGACCCATATTGGGTATGTGGTCATGCACACACAACATCCCCTGGCGGAATACACATACCAGATGGAAAATCTGGCGATTGACCTGCGGGATGGAGTGCGTCTGACCAGACTTGTCGAGATTCTCCTGTATCCTTCTGCGTCACCGTCCCTCGAGTATGTGCAAGGTTCGGATTCAACTTCCAGTATCACTCTGCCCGATGGACAACAGATGCCCTTGAACGCAGGGGACTCCAGCTTGCCGTTGTCTCAACATCTCAAGTACCCGTGTCTGGGCCGCGCGACCAAATTGTATAACGTGCAGATCGCACTGAGCGCAATACAGGGAGTCAAGGGGGTGGGGGATTTGGCAGAAGCTGTCAAAGCAGAAGACATTGTGGACGGCTTCAGAGAAAAGACAGTCAGGCTCCTCTGGGGCCTGACCAGCAAGTGGGGACTTGGTGGACTTGTTGACTGGAACGATGTCGAGCGCGAAATCAAGAGGTTGTGCCGCACGGGGGCTAGCAGTCACGTAAACGACTACTTCGACCTGCTGCCTGATGAAGATGATCACGCGCGATACACAACCCTCTTGAAAGCATGGGCTCAAGCCGTTGGCAGCAAGCAAGGAATCCGGGTGACCAACCTGACCACAAACTTTGCGGATGGACGGGTTTTTGGAGCTATTGTTGATGAATACGAAGGATATCTCGGCTATGACGTTGGGTCACCAAAAGGTCGCTCCCTCGCCGAGCGGCTGAGGTGTCTTGGGTGCAGTGAGCAATTTGCCATGCTTTTCACCCAGTTGGAAGGATCCACTCACCGTGCGCCTATCTTTACCCGGGACTTTGTAGTGGCGGCATTGGCATTCCTTTGTTCTCGGCTTCTCAACCCAACAAAGGGTGTGAGAGCAGCCGTGGCGATACAGAGGAGATGGCGGTCACATTGGGCCCGAGTGGTCGAATCTCGCAAGGTGCATATGAAATCGGTTGCAGAGAGTTGTGCTGCAATGGCTCTTCAGAGAGGGGCAGCGAGTGCCGCCAAACAAAGGGAGAATGAAGTGGGTCAGCCACTTGCCGGAGACGAGGACATGGAACAAGCTGACGGAGATATCTGGTTGAGCTTGTGAACAGGAGAGGAGAGCCACAGTGGGGTTTTGGCTTGAAGGCGACATGATGTAGTACGAACCAACCTGAAGTCAAAGTCTGTCGTTTGTAGAGCCGGGGCTGAGCAGGTTTGCGGCATAATTACGGTTACACAAAGGTCATGGTCTACTGAATGAGTCTAATTAGCAAGCAGATGAAAGTCAAATAGTCAATGATGCAGGAAGGAAAATCTGATATCACTTCTGGCGATGAATTGGTGTAGCAGGGGGGGGGACAAAGAGGGAATTGCCCTGCGACCCTTCCGTGCCGTGCCAATCAGGCCATCATGGCCCTTGTATGATCACCATGCGGGGGATCGTGTCTACTGCACCTTGTAAAGTATATCATCATTATTATTGTTAACGTCTCTCGTCTCTGTTGGTCTGGGCTCTGCGGATCAACATTGTTCCAGACCCGGCGGCGAGGGAATGACCCAATTAGAGTCTCATGGAATTTTGGTACACGTTTTGACCGCGACTTATTCGGCGCAACGGGCCAATGAGATCAAGTCTGTTCGCATTGTCCGCCTTTGGTTGTCCATTTCATCATCCTCCTCAATCTAATCGCTGCTCATTACTTGTCGTGCTCCATGATCTCATCTGCCCTACCGAAGCATGCCCAACGCACATTTGTCGGACACTCCGCTGTGTTTCCATGATCGAAGGAGACCCCTAGCGGCGCTGCCACTCAGCTAGACATCCAAGCAACGCCTGTGGCGCCGACACATGCAAATTCCCCCGTCATGGCGTATTGGCTGATTCGACATTCGGATCTTTCATCATGGCCATCTTAGTCCCCCCGGCTCCCGGCTAGGTTACCCCTTGCTTAGCACCAAACGTCTAGAGAGGGAGGTAGAACTGTCGACCCATGTTGATTTGGGCCGATCTAGGTCAGCTTTCTCCACGAACCTACTACTCACCAACCAACTGGGAGGCAATCCAGACATCAACCCGCCGTCTATCTTTTCTGAGGTATGGGGACATGGGCGGTAGAGTCATGTAGTCGTCTCCCCTCTTCCCGGGTTCTTCCGCACCACTCCCAATTCCATTCGAGTTCCGATCATCTGGCTGAATGCCTCGTATGATCGTCCTCCATTATGTGCCCAGGATGTCCATACTCCTCCTCGCGTAGGAGATTCTCAGAACCTGGGGCGGAGCCTCACGGCTGGGCTTGTTGCAAGAGTGGGAGCCTCCTCGCCGCGCACGGACACCATAGCATATAATGCACGTTCGTCCTCGTCCCAGCTGTTCAATATTCTCTATCGATTATTTCATGGTCTCGGAACTCTTTGTCCCTCCTCAAATAGAGAAACTCCCATCACAAGTCCCTCAGCAAGTCCTGCCTCCCCCAACCCCCTCCTCATTGCAACCCAATCCCACCGCGGGCCTATCATTCCATCCACGGTTTCAGGCGGCAATCATGGCGACGAGAGAGCTACACCTTGCCGTGTTTTCCGGGGACTCACATGGAATACTGGCGTTCATCGCGTCCCCGCGAACAGGACTCAGTTTTCTGGACGATGCCGAGCCTGACTATGGCTTTGACTACGAAGGCGATAACCCCGACATCACGCAAACGATTGTCGAGGCATCGCTGCCACGACCAATTTTCCCTGTGAGAACCAGCCCACCCCTGAGAGAAGTTGAAGAAAGAATCCGAGCCATGAACATGCGCCATTGCAGACACCTCACTTGTGTGCAGAATCTGTTTGCCCGTTCGACCCTCGCAGAGCAGCCCTGCGCCGACCTGCGCGCTCTGCGAATCTACATGTGGGACCTGGCGTCACCCCGCCTGGTCAAGATGCTGGCTACACAGTTCCCGGACCTGGAGGAACTGCAACTCGGCTTCTGCCACCCCTATATCCACGACCCGTGCCTGCCCCTCAAGTTCTGGGTCCGTCCAGAGTTCCTCGTGTCGTCCGCCATCTGGGACATCTTCGGGGGTGTCGGCCAAGTGCAACCGGCCAACCTCCGCTTGACCAGGTTGAAGAAGTTGACCTTGCAGCGCTCGGGCATCAATCGCGTCCAACTGCAGAAATGGATCGAGTGCAATCCGGGCCTGGTCGACTTGAGGATGCACCATGTGGCCGGCGTTGACGCTACGTTTGTCCAGTGGCTGGGTCGATACTACGGACCCAGCACCGGTGACCACGCTGACCCTGGTGCCGCTGCACCGGCAAAGCTGACCACCCTGGCTCTCGAAAGCTGCACCTCGCTGCACCTCGAGACCTTGGACGACTTGGCCTGGCTGGACTCCTTCTTCCCCGCACGAGCGCGAGCACCGGTCACTACAGACCAAGACGACAAGCCTCGTGCTCCAGCATTCAACATCCTATCCTTCCGAGACTCGACACGGGTCTCCAGCTCCGCTTTGATGGCGTACCTGGCGCTCAAGCGCCCGGCAGTGCGACAGGTGACCTTTCCCGACGGCCGTGTCCTGGTCGAGACGACCACCGACCCCGGAAACGACGGCGACATTGGACCGGAGCTGTGTTCCTCCCGGGCCTATTCCACGACGCTGGCCTGCGATGACACCCAGCCGTCGCCGGTCCCGTATCTCCGTTTTCGCCGGTTCTCTCGCCGCTTCCCTCGCCGCCTGGCCGGGACGGGGGACGACATCATCGAGCCGGATTCGCATGTCGCTTGAGCTTGCCCTTGCCGTTGCCGGGGTTTATATCTTTGTACCGAAGCAACAATCTCATACCGTGTTGATCCCTTGTCGACCCGGGTCTCGAGTCTCAACCCCGGAAGGGGGGGGGGGGAG